GGGCAGCTTTCCAGATCTCAGCTCACAATTAACGGTTGTAATGTAGAGTTGGTAATGCTGATGGGACTCCCACTGAAATGTTAGGAAGGGTATAAACCAGTCTGAAAATGTGGAAATGAAAATGACATGGAACTGCTTATATTGAAATTAAAACTTTACTGACAAGTAAATCTATTGTAGGCCATAAGAACAGGCTGCAGCAATGGGCCTGGCCCCACAGCGGTTAAAAGCATTACCTTATAATGTGTCAGTGCAGAATGATAAAGCATCAATTGTATTTTTGATTAATAATTGATTATTTGACTTAAACAAACACAGGTACCTTCGCCAAAGAGGTTGTTCTGTTGTCATGCCTATCTTTGGTTGATTGTTGGTTTAGTTTGTAAGAAAGATAACACAATAAAAAGTGAACAGATTTCAATGCAATTTGGTTGAAGGATGTGTTGGGTCAGGGAAGAACCTGAACAGATCCAGGAAATTTTATTCACTACTTGTGACACTGCAAGACAGAGCGTTTATCAACGTTTTTAACCATTTCCCCAGAAAAAAATCAGGCACATTTACGGTACCGATGTCTACAATTGTGTGCAATTTGATGCAGCTTGATGGAGTTTAAGGGGACTATTTGGCCATGGTGGAGTTACAGTTTGCACTTTCCTGAGTTTCCTATTTGCAGGATCTTTTGAACACAAACAGGATAAAGCATCAAGGAACATTTTAGTTATGCTGTAAAAGAGTGTAGTGCAGTGTTCACCAGTAGATCGCTTGGTAACATTGTAACCTTGGTTCTCTGGGGTGAAGTGACTATCTCTCCAAATCGTACACATGGAATATGTAACAGAGTGGAGAGATAGCAAATACAATTTTTGTACAGTGTTGTAATACCTGACAACTACTCAGTCATCCCTGTTTGATGTATTTAACAATTCATGTCTCACAGTTTAATAAAGTAATTTTCAACAAAACAAAATATCTGCATCTATTCTTTCTACTTTGTAAAAAGAGAACAAAAAAATTCAAGTATCACTATATCACTTTTGTTGCCATGGGGGATATTGAATGGAAAGCAAATTCACTTAATTCACTAAGTTCACTCAAACATTTGCAAATACATTAATTATTCTGACACCATATTTGTTTAAAACACATATATGTTTTTTTTCATATGATGACACTGAGCTATACTGAGTAGATTTACGATGGTTACTGCCACTATGGAGCAATGTTTTTTAGCAGGGGTCCTGTTTGTATTTACTGTGGTGAACATGAATGAGAAAGCAAGAGACATGCACATACACACTTCTGTTTTTTTTCTATGCTTTTTTAATAAACAACAATTTATGGTAAAGAGCTTAAAAAATATAGTAAAGTGGGGAAGTACTACCCATAGACTGTATCTATATATAGGGCTTGATGACATAACTGCTCTCTAAAAGTGAAGCCAAAGTCTCTTGATTGCCCTCTAGAGGCTGGCTGCAGTATAGGTCAACAACTGACAACTGAACTTGACAAATGAGACTGACTCATGATAGGTCGAGTTCATATATTGGCCGGACTTCGATACCGCAGCTCTAGTTCCTTAGGGCTACCGCACAGACTCTGACTCTGAATGTATAAGATGGCAGTGTCCTACAAACATTGGTGTAAATAAAAGCTGGTTGTAGTAACCCTCCCCCTTTTTTTTTTTTTTTTACAATATTTTACAAATATTCCACAAGGAAGGAAATGCAGTTAACACTTTTGTTAGACTTCTATGCAAACACAAAACGCCACCACCCATAGAACAGTTTAGTGGAAGCACTCCGCCTCTGATGGATTGGTATGTAATCTGTATCCAGGAGGCTGAAACACACGAAGTTAAGAAAGAGCTCTCTGTCTGTCTTCCATTTCCTCTTTTAGTGCAAATCTAATTGCATTTAGAGTCTTGTCTTACCGGTTCATTTAGACCGGTGGGTTTCATGTCTCACTTTAGGAGGCGAAAAATACTTCATCTTCATTCATTGTCCACTGAATCAGTCATGAAATTCACTTTCCCATCAATGTCTTCTTTGTAGACGGTGCAAAGAGCAGACGACCACCCACATACTAAAATGTTAAGGAATCTACTGTAGGCATAAAGCTGCCTCAGTTATGTAAAGCATAAAAAAATGACAAAAACATGTAGGTCACGTACAAATACAAAAAAGACATGAAGCAAAGTGCAGAGTGGAGACAAAGCAGGACCAGCTGCAAGATCCTCACACCCTTGAGTGTTGTTCACATTCCTAGTTATCTTAGCTCAGAGAAGCCTGAAGCCTGAGGCTGACTCTACTCAGGCAAAGTGGGACTCATAGTAGACTGCAGTTAGCCCCGAGGCTTAGTTTTACAATTTAATTTATAACCCTGTTAAAATGGGATCATTGGCAAGACAGAGGGTGACTTTCAGATATAACTGTGTATCAACATTAACAATAATATATTTCATACTAAACATGCTGTTTTCTATAATCACTCTTTATTTGTCTCCCCTACAATACAACTAAAGCCTGATTGATGTTTACACAGCTTGGTTTCATGTACACTGCAGCTATTTAGTATTTACTTCTCCATAAAGCTGTGTGGTCAAAATGCAAGATACAATATGATCAGCTGAAGGCTACGTCCACGTAACTACATTTTCTTTTTAAAACGCATCAACTCTGCTGCGGATATGCCTGATGTCTACACCACTCCAGAGTTTCAGAGCCGCTAAAATGGAGAAGTTTTTTAAACTCATGTTAGTCTGAACAGGCAGAAACTGACAACGACATAGACTATAACATTGCTGATTGGGTCTTTTCAGTTGTAGCCTTTGCTGATTGGTCAGGCTCTTATCACATGACTCCCTTTTGAAAGAAGAAAACGTCATTAGCCTTGGCTACTCTGTGACATGGTTTGTCTGTTTCTTTGCTGTTGTGTTAATTATTCTGCATTTTCCAATGATACAACTGCTTACATGGGTATGAGACAAGCTGTTATTCAAGCAGTCTGCGATTCTGTGTCCAGTGGGAGACACATACCCACTGTAGGTGAGTGGTCACGTGATATGAGTTTTCAGGTTTGTAAGTATGGACTGGGATTAGAACTGGTATGGAGCCAAAATGCTCATGTGGACAGAGTTCGTTGCGGTTTTCAAACCAAAATGTGTACATATGGATGTAGCCTATGTCCTTTGGTCAAACTCCAAAAATGCTAGATCCTACTTTTACCATTATTTGTTTTTGTTATATTCTCCATACTGTGTGAATTCCAACTTCTTTCAAAATGGTGGCACCCCCAGTGACTATTAAATTAACTTTAACATGTAAAAGTTGATAGACTGCCCCCATACAGTTCTGGAAATGATGTATCTTTCTTAAATCCAATACTTCCTCTTGTATTTAGGAATGTCAGTATTTCCTGCTTTGGAAATAATTGACCATTGATCTGGACCTCAGAAGCTAATGTACACAAAAATGCAAGCAGTGTTTATTTTTCCATAATGTACTGTAAAATACAAAAACGTTCACCTGCACATATAAAAACACCTGTACATGCAAGATCAGGCTTTAAGGTGTTTGCTGTCTCTGGGAGCAAAACAAACATTCAGGATTATAGTACAAATTTCTATTGGTAGAGCTGCTAAATAGATAAATGACTCATAGTTTGAACTGTAAGAATTACCATAGGAATAAGAGTTTGCAAATATCAACACATCCATGATTGTTGATACAGTACTTGATCCTGTACTTTTCTTTGTTCAATCATGCTCCTGCTGCCTTGATAATCTGCCAACAGGCTTTTTCAAAAATGCTTCCAAACACATAACCTCAGATTTTGCACTGAACACAAAACATACTGCAAGACTGTCTGGAAAACAGGGTGGGCCTTTCTAGCACAGCACAAAACTGGTTTGAACCCTAACTAAGGTCTAATAACACATCTGAGCAGACAAAAATGACACACATAGTTCCTCAAGGCTCCATTACGGAGCAAATTCTGTTCAATATCACCATGCACCCAGTGGCTCAGATTATGGAAAACAAGAAAACATGTTTCTATCATTAAACAGATGATGCACACATGTACATAACCATATCAACAGAGGACTACAATCCTAAAAACTTTCTGATCAAGCACACTAAACAATTCTATTCAAATATGCCTCAATTTTCTTCAGTTAAGCATAGATTAAACTAAGTACTATTAAGTATTTGTTGGTTGACAAGAGAAAAAACTATTTTAAGTCAGAGCTTTGAAAACATTACAGAAATCAGACACTGCCATCTTATAATCCAAGCACACATGTCTCAACAGGATTTTTCATGTTACATTATGAACAATCCAGATTCCTCAGGTCGTGTGGTGCAGGTTTGTCTGTCTGTTTTCTGTTCAAAGAGTCAAAACTAAACCAGAACCAGGGTTTAGTTTTCATGTCTGGAAGAAACCCCCAGAGAACTGCAGATCTGATGCAAGTGTCAGTTCTCAAAGCAAAGCAGGAGACACTTGATAACTCATTTAGACTTTTTAAACATTAATATTGTCTGACGTTGCATTTACATTTTACCTCCGGCCCCTTTATATTTCAGCTAAATCACGAGCATTGCTTCGTTGATGAAATGTGAATAAACTTGCAACCATCCTTCAGTTCAGGCCTAATCTAATAAGAGCTGACTTTGTGATAACCTGTGCAGCAGATACTCAGCCACTCTGCACTTTATCTTATTGATTACATCAATTAACTCACAGGCATTGCTCCGCTCTCTCTTCTCACATTGTTTCATGCATACTCGCAATTACACGTATATCTATGTTGAATCATTAGACACAGAGAAGAGAAGGAGGCTCAGCCCTGCATCTTTCTCTACAGCTGCACTTCCTGAGCAGGCTGCTCTGTAGCACTGGTGTGGTGGGAGGGGTTTGTATGCATTGCTCCTCCCATGTTCTCTCACTCATTCACTGTGTGTTTTGTTGGGGTACACCACTCCTGTTCCTCTGGGCCAAGCACTCTCTCTGTCTCTCTGTCTCTCTCTCTCTCTCTGTGTTTCTTGCTGTGTTTCTTCATACCCAGTTCAGAGTCCTCTCACTCTCTCTCAGCCAACCAACTCTCTAAGGTAAGAAACAAACAGACCTTTTCCTCCTCGTGTACATTTATCTATCTTAACAACCACTAATGCTCCAAGGGTTCCTTCATACAGGTAAATGTGCTTCATTGTGTGAGATGATTTTCTGCATGGGTGTGTTATTTTTCCTCATGTGGACCAGTCTCTACAGGCAGAGGCAATAACATGTTCCACTATGAATGAGTGTGTCCAAATGGATTTCTTTTTACAGGCATGTTGTCTGTGTTTCGTAGGTTTATGTGTGTTATGTCTGTGTTTATAACAACTACTAGTTCTTCTGGTTTTTTGAAGCGCTGTGTATTTTCTTTACCTTGTACGCAAATGTGGAGTAAGAAGGGGCTGTTCTGCAAGGAGGTGGATTAGTCAGATTAGAGTGTTCCATACTGTTCTTTTTGTGTAGACTTAGATAAGTAAATCCAAATGTGTCTTATCTAGTAAAGTAATCATGTCACTGGATGCGGCAGAGTAAAAGTATAAATACAGACGGAATATATCTCAGCATCCTATAAAGTTAAGTATTTTATTTCAGGGGCAAAAATACATCAACATGATCATATATAAGTACAAACATTGACTTACTTTAATTTTAGTTTTAACTACTTGTAGTAATGGACACATTGTCCACGAACATAACTGCAGTCCCTGATGGATGTTATTTGAATAATTTGGTGACTTATTGTGGACGGCCACTGAAAGTCACAAGCGTCATTGCTCAAGCATCCTGGAGCCAACAGGATAAATCTGATGTTAAGCACTGGACACTGTACACCAGCTGCCCTGTAAAGCCACACATCACTGAGCTCAGGTTCCTCCTGTGTGGTGCTAGAGAGATTTTTCTCTTCATCTTCATATGAATACAAGGATTTTATTTATTATCATTGTTATGATTCAGTACTCTTAAAAGACTCTATATTAGCAAACATTCATCAATGAATGTGTTTTAATGAGGGTGGAGAAAAGAAGTGTTAAAGTGTTCTTTAATATGTTGGTGGGATTCTCATTTCTCTGGTCACATAAAGTTAAAAGTTACTGTAAAAACAAAAAGCTGACTTAAATCAACCTGGCTGACAGACATTAGACATGTTGCTATGTCGCGTGGCTCTAATCACACCTTTGACCTGTTTATGATGTTGCTGTGGAACCTTAAATGCTGCAATTTAGTACAATAACAAACATTAGCACTGAGTTGTTTTTACAGCCCGCTGATGATGGAGGAGACAAATGTTCTTTATGTGTTGATACAGTTTAAAAAAAACATTCAGAAACACCAATGCAAGGAAAAAGTGAGCGGTAGAGAGAGATGGACGATTACGGTGCTACCGTTTGAGAGTATGACAATAACACACAGCTGACACAGCATTACGTAATTTCTGTAGGAGGTTGTAATTATATTGTCACAACACTTAATTCCTGAGGATACAGCATGACGGGGCATTCTCTACAGGTTAAAGCAAAGGCTGGTTGAATAATGTACATTGATGCTCAAGGACGGCATGCAACAGGGGGAAATAATCCTGAGTTTAAATGTGTGTGTGTCTGCGTTTCATGTTACAGCGTGTTAAAGTTTGTGTGCGACCTTTAATTGCAAACATATTGGACATCACTATGACTAAGTGAGAACAGCAGTCCTCAATTCTTGACCTTGCGTTTGTGTTCATTTTCCTCACACACAGTAGAACTCGCACGACAAATCTGTTTCCTGTTACTGAGTATAAAAATAAAATTCAAACAGAGACGTTTTATAAATCTTTTCTTTTTCTTGGTGTGCCGCCCATTGTTTGTTTGTTCTAGATTTTTCTGTCTGTACTGAGTCCAAGCCCCAGTTGATCAAAAAAGAGTCTGACTCGAGATGAACTGAGTCTGACTCATGGAGGTCGAATTTCATGTCTTAATAACTGCAATTTGCCCTTTGATATTTGTGAAATATTGAAATGTAGAAGCCATTTTATGTTCAAAGTTAAAGTTCTATTACATTCGGAGTCATCAACATTGAATTTACTGTATAATCCGTGGAAGCAAAGTGCTGGATTAGCGGCATGTCCTGAGGCCTTTTAGCACATGTAGGCTGGTAAACACTAGTGCCTGAAATGGAATGATATAGTATTGATAAAGATATCAACATAGGCCAAATTATTATTACAATCATCCTTACCCTTGAAATTATGCTACAGATCCCCATCCACCAAATCATCTTGTCAGAAAGATTTTCCCCCACAGCCGTAAGGACTCTGAACTCTGCAACAATCATAATGTACATGCACTTTCACACTAGACAATATATGGACAGGTCAAAATCACATACAGTGACATGATTTATTGTGTAGTGTCACCGCTGTTGTCTATGTCCGTTCCCGAAGGATTCTGATTCTGAACACTATTTAAAAAAATCAGAGTCCTCATCTCCAACCTCGAGTGTGACTGTCATCGTTTGTAGACTGTGCTGACCGAGTCTTCTCAAGTCCAAGTGAATCACAAATTCTGGACATCAGGACTGGAGTCGAGAAGGCTCACCGCCATACAGTCCATGATTCTTCCATATAAGCCAGCATACCTCCACAAACTGAAATCACAACTCAAGTCTGCATTCACTTTCCTCAAAGAATCACTAGAAACTTGTGTTCCTCTTTGCAGATCATATCAAATATAACAAATCCTCCTTTCATGTCGCTGCTTTGCCTTTTTGAATTTAAGAGCGCAAAGATAATAAATAATGATGATAATGATAATAAGGGTTAAAGTATCTCAGCGTCCTTGACAAAAGGGAACAGTAAAAGCATTTTAAACTGAGTCATGACCCACAACATTTTTTCTGATTGATTTTTTTCATTGCTTTAATGTGCTTGTTTACAACGGTGATATTGCTCAGTCTATCAATAATGTTGCCATGTTATTTTACTTCTTCAGGAAAATAAAGTGTTTTTATTATTGCTCATCATCACTTTTCTAAAACGTCTCCACTTTGAGAGCCGAGATGTTTTTAGCATGAACCGCACTCTTTGTTTTTTTTTAACCCCATTTCTTGCCAACAGGAAATGGCATACAAGTGTCGCATAGCAGGCGTGCTACTCCTGCTGTTGGCCAGCATCGCCGCCCTCATTGCTGTTGCCATCATTCAGGATACCTGGGCGTTTAAAGAGTACAGCCTAGAGGTGAGCGTGTGCATGTATGTGCACAAATGTCCATGCACACATGTTCTCACAGGAAGTCCCTTTTGGCTGTAGACTAAAGTACTTAAAACACATGCATATACAGACAGTGTGAAAGAGATTTGTATACAAACAAACACTCATATATGAAAGTGTTAGCAGACATCATCCAGATGTGAGTCTCAGGGAGAGAAGTTTTCATCTGTTAGCTGTTGGTTGATGGAGGTCCAGATGGACAATGTGTATTTTTTTGGGTGCTGCAGGATTGTTTGAAGTTTGGTGCGTGGGTGTCACAGCCCCGCTCTGTAGTTTAACACAATCTTTATCGTCTGAGCTCTTTTGTCAGATTATCAACATCAAAATAAAACATGTGGTCAGATAAAATATGTGACCTTGTAACATAATTTAATTTTTCTCTCATCTTCTCTGCAGTACGGGATAGTGATAGATTCGGGTTCATCTCGGTCCAATGTGTACCTCTACGAGTGGCCGGGGGAGAAGCAGAATGAAACAGGAGTAGTGACGCAGATAATGGACTGTCGAGTTGCTGGTATATTTTCTATTCTGTATTTACTATTGTTTATAACTAGAAAACTCCATCTGCCTTTATCTAATTAAAAATGTTAAGAGATGCATGTACTCAGGCAACTTACATCGTTTTCACTGTCTCATCTCTTCAATTTCATTTCAACTCGGCCTTGTGCCAACAGGTGACGGCATCTCCGATATGAAAGTTGATGTTGAGAAAGATGTCAAGTCATGGAAAGCATTCCAAGAGTGCATGGCCAATATCACCAAGGCCATTCCTGCTGAAAAACACAAAACCACGCCCCTGTTTCTCGGAGCCACAGCCGGGATGAGACTGCTGCAGTAAGAAAGTGTCAAATTGACTTATAGCTTCAGGAAATTCTCTCACCATTACCTATAATGTCAGAGCACTTTCACCTCATTCATGCACCTCATGGATTTTTTTCACCCAAAAGCTACTGGAGACAGGCCCCAGCAGTAAAGACACATCCAGCAACACACAGTAGAACAATGATACTGGGAAATGTGGGATCTCCTCACATTAGTGGGTGGTTATATGAGATTATGCTGTCAGATCATATAAGTCATGCTCTTTGACCAAGGGCTGATCACATCACTTTGCTCGAGTGATGTGGTTCACATTTCTACTGGTTTGTCTGTGTACAATACATTGAATGAAGTATTCTTTCTTTAAATAAGGCAGGGATGAGGCATGTTTTGTTGCTTTACTTCAAATTCAGTGATATTAGCTGATTTTTCACTTTTTGTTGTTACTTCTTGTCATCATCATATTCACCTCTGCAGTCTCCCTCTCGTCAGTTTCCTCTTGATATGTCTTTTAGGCTGTGTTGTGTTGTGTGTGGTTTTCCCTGACACATAAACAACAAGGAATCTTCTTCTCTGTGTTATTGTCCAATAGTTAATACAAGTTCAAATCTGTCTTGATGTTGGGGAGGCGGGGCCTGATGATGCAAACTTAAAAAAATTGGATAATTGCTCTCAAATGCATTAAAACGTAATAGTAACGAGCCTATTTTGAACATGCAAGGAGTAGAACATACAAATATTTGTGTTACAACATAGGGAGTTAACATAAAAAGTTGTCAGAAAAAATAAATACAGTACAGATACATGAACAGCTACTATAGCAAAGTATTTGTATTTCCCATCTATGGTCTGCAGTGAATAGATAAATAATCATCAGATTTGTTTTAGTCTTTAGGAATCAGTTTGAACATGTCCAAAGTCTAAATACGCAATATTTTAGATTTGACTTCATCCTATGATGTCACTACTGAGTTTGTTGTTATAGTCGGCATCTCCCTGTAATGACATACTAAAGTCATTTTTGGGATGTATATTCAGTCTATATGCTAACTTTAACTGGCGTAAGCTTAATATTTAGTACATTCATGAAAGTTATTTGGCTTCCTTCTCTAACACTTCCATTATGTGTTTTTTCTAAAAAGTTTTTTGACGACCTCTCAGAGTAAGACCTCTACTTCTTTTTTTCACCATCAGTCAGCACGATGAGCAGAGATCAAATGAAATCCTGGAAGATCTCAGAAAATACCTGAGCTCCCTGCCCTTCAACTTCCAAAACGCCTCCATCATCACAGGTCAAGAGGAAGGTCTATATGGGTGGATCACCGTCAACTACCTGATGGAAAACTTCCTGGAGGTCCGACGCTGTCATCGATCTGTCTGCTCTGTCTCGGTCAACGTTTACTTGCATGCTGCTTCACTATGTTTCATTTTCCTCTATACAGAAAAACCTGTGGAACACCCTTGTGCAGAAGGAGGGGGCAAAGACAGTCGGATCCTTGGACCTTGGTGGAGCATCGACCCAAATAGCCTTCGCAGTTCAGGACGATCTCAATGGGCCCAACTACATGCCTGTCAAACTGTACGGATACCCTTACAATGTCTACACTCACAGTTTCCTCTGCTATGGAAAAAATGAGGCTGATAAGAGAGTTCTGGACAAAATAGTACAGGTAACACAGCTTTTTGTCTTTAAATATATGTGTGTGTATGAAAAGAATTTGACTAAAGTATTTATGGGCGCTGCAGCTTGTTCTCTGTCTGTGTTTTTATGTTCCTGTTTGTGCATGTGGCAGTGGGAATGCACATGTGTATGTGTGGTTTTCTTGCATGCATGTACACGTGAAAATCCATTAAAGCCTATTAAAGAATTGATTAGTGAACACTGCTGTCCTTCAGCTGCTAACAGGCAAGGGGAGACCAGCCCAGGATGCATTATGTCATTAAGGATATTGATTGGACCGTAAATGTCGTCAGGCGCGTCGCTGAGAAATGCATTATTTCTGGTCGCTTATAGCTACATTCTTGAAACGAATAGAGTTTGCAGCAGGAAAGAAATATGCTACGTTGTGAGAAAATGTAATGAAAGGTCATACATTTGTTACAGGGTCCTAATATCAAATATCAACTCTACAGCTTGTATTCTGGATCTGTAGTTCATCATGTGTAATTCATGTAAATAAGTAGTTCAGTTTTATGTCATGTAATTTATATGAAAAGAATGAAATGAAATGTTTTAATAAATCTTATAATACTCGTTTGAACTATTACATTTGTACATCCATTTAGACAAACAGACAGATAGATAGATTGATTTTCAATTGGAAAGAACCTTTGTGCGTAAGCTTCAAAACTGCTAGATTTATTATAATCAATTCAAACAGTATTCTTAACATTTCCCTCCTCCATTCAATGTTCCAGGAATCACGTGACCCAGCATACATTCTGAACCCCTGCTACCCTGAAGGTTTCAACATCACCTTGAAGGCCTCATCCATCTATAACACAGAGTGCACCCAGAAGCCAGCAAACTACAACCCAGACCAGGATCTCTTCATGGTGGGAGCCCCTGACTCAGACAAGTGCAGCAGCATAGTGAAGTCAATATTTGATTTCAAGACCTGTTCCTCAGCCCACTGTTCCTTCAACGGGGTTGAGCAGGCGCCAGTCACCGGAGAGTTCATGGTAACACAAAGTGCAAATATATCTCATGTAAGTGTAGGCAGATGAAGGTGCAAAACAGCTTTTAACTCTGTGTTTCTGCTGCTCCTGCAGGCATACGCTGGATTCTTCTTCATTGCTCGGGCTGTTGTGCAGAATGGCACTTCAGATATAGATCAGTTCAACTCTTCAGTGAGAGAATTCTGCCACAAGCATTGGACAGTGGTAAGTTCTGCAAACAGGTGTACATCTGAAATGAAGGCTGTAAAGAAGGATACAACCGTCTATAAGTGGAGGAGGGAGAAAAGTGGAACAATGTGAGAAAGGAGGGAAAGAATGACAAATAGAAAGAGGTTAAGATAGCAACAAGGAAAGAGATACAAGAGATACAACAGAGAAACAAGTCGAACTATGAATAATAGGGTGAAGCTAAATTGCTTGGCAGATGCAGAGTTTTTTCCTCAGGCAGAATACCTGCTCTGACATCACTGACTGAGGCAGGACCGGGTTTTCTTCTGTTTGTTCATCTTCACTATGACTACAATGTTGATAACTTGCCAATAGCAATCATTTTAATTTGCTTGTGTCATTATTCTTCCTTATCACGGCTTAAGTCACATCTTTTTTTATCTTGCTATTAGCTTAAAAAAGAAAAGAACTGGATCTCTGAGAAACACCTGAGGACTTACTGCTATGGAGCTCACTACGTCTTGACTCTCCTGGCAGACGGTTACAAGTTTGACAAAGAGACATGGACAGGAATCAGCTTTCAAAGAGAGGTTGGTACTGTATATCCATTCTATTCATCATCTACGCCCCATATTCTTGCAGGAAAACAGGGTTGATGAAAACACAGCCATCCGGATATCACCAGTGACTCATGCACAAATACAGGCGCTTAACAACCTTTAACTTACACAAGTGGAAATCAAACCACCCACTGGGACTCATTAAAGATGGAGGGTTGATATACCGATTGTGTGCACTCAGAGCCTTGAGTGAAAGACATGCAATGTATCGCTGTGGGCTGCCCTGAGGATACAGAGCATACTTTCACAGTGGACTGCCCATGGCCTGTGACACTCGGTCACTCAAGAATCAAGAGGAAAGAGAGTCGCTCTAAAAAGAGTTGCATATTAGAGCCGTAATTATCAAATTGCAGGGCAGCTTGCTTACAGACAGAAACGTCCCTCATAAGATGGCAACGCTCCCAGTCTGAAATCCCACCAACAAGCGGGTTAGTGTGCTGATCAGTGCTGTGTAATTCCCTGGGGGTGTCTGGGAGTCCCATGGTTCAAAGATCCGATGAGAGGAAAGTACCAAACAGACACACTTGGAGTGTTTTCTAGTTGTGTTCTCTGGGTGTTATGACTCATTTTCTGCCCTGGAGCTGTAGCTGTAAATCCTTTTGATTGAGCTGTGAGACATTCTTAACTTCTCTGGACATGCACAGTGATAAATTAGCCCACACGTAAATTCACAGTGAGAAAATGGAAAAATCTTTTCTCTCCTCTTCTCATTTCATTCTGTCTCTTCTCTTCTCTTCTGGTCTCGTTCTTTCACTACTGGTCTTGTCTGGTCTTGTCTCTTCTGGTCTGGTCTTGTCTCCTCTCTTCTCATCTGGTTTTGTCTGTTCTCTTCTCTTCTCTTCTCATCTGGTCTCATCTCTTCTGGTCCGGTCTGGTCTCTTCTGGTCTTATCTCTCCCCTCTTCTCCTCAGGTGAAGGACACCAGTGTGGGTTGGAGTTTGGGCTACATGCTGAGTATGTCCAACATGATCCCATCTGAAGTGAAACACATCACGCCTTTGACCAACCCTGTCTTTGCCGGCCTTATATTTTTATTTTCAGCTCTGACCATCGTCATGGTTATCATAGTTTTCATCATCATCATTCGCACCTGCTACTGAGAGCGAAGGAAATGATCTTCCATTCAAAGCCTGGGGATTGCTGTTATCCTGTACATAACTGGAGAGTGTTACAGTTACTTAGCCTGAGATGTTTACTGAAAATATAAATGCAGTTCATTTTGTACCTCAGGGAAATGTACATTTAGTGAACTTTTTGGAGCTCGACTAAAGGGAAATATTGTTTTACAGCTAAAAGACTCGCACTGTGGTGACCTAAGCACGCGTTGGTGTTTTACACTGTGGAATTTCAAAATTAAAGTGAGACTCTGTACATTTAACTTAGTGTGCTCGGGATGCACACACAAACCCATCAGGCAAAAAAGCATGACGTAATCCCTGTGCTAACAAGTTTCTTCCGTTATACATGTAATTGCACTGAATGTGTTTGCTTTACCTCTGAAACTGTATTACTGCTGCGGCCTTATTGTTTTATACTGTGTATCTGAAACTATAACTACACAACAGTTCTCCGTATTTACTGAATGAAATTCTCCCTAATAAATAATGGAATGAATGAATGAAATTCTCCCTAATAAATAATGGAATGAATGTGAAATTTGCCATTGTTTTCTTAAGATTATGCAAATCAAATAAATGAAGTCATAGCATTTTATATATTCAATTTGCAAACATTTAAAATGTTTTTTTCTGAGTTCGGGACATTTAATAACAATAAATACAGAACATTCTGTACCTTGAGCAACATTGTTGTATCTGCTTAATTTTAATATTTCAAATGTTTTACGTGAAATGCCAGTTACACTCTATCCTGTTTACACTGTATATATTTTTGTTATTTTTATATTTCCTTATGTTTGTATTGTCCCTGTTTTTTATATTTACATATGTTAATACTGCATGTTTACTTATTTATCGCTTGAGTTTTTACCATTGTAGGACAAATAAAGGAACATCTTATTTAATCTCATCCAAATGACTGCTCACATCAGTAAAAGTTCAATCAGTGGATTAATTTGAGTAAAAGTAAACCAATCTGGTAGTGGGAAGGAGGATATAAGAAACTAAAAATAAGAAAAATAAGATACAGTAAATCAATGCATAATTATGGTAATGTATGGTCAGTATACATTAATCAAGTGCGTAAGACTGTGAAACCGATAAGATAACGTGATTGTATTAATGATGACAAAGATAAGAATCACGATGAATAACCCAAGATGGGGATTTCTTAACATGTTTGAAAAGCTCTGTGATCGAGATGGCTGATAAAAGGGAAGAAAATACAATGTGAGTTGGATTTTTTTTTTCTGTATAGACTCCAGATGTCAGTTCTCGAGATGAGTCAGTCAGTCAGAGAAACCCTGAATTTAGATGGTGAAAGGAATAGCTGCGAGGGAGCAATTCTATAGATGTAAATCCAAAACATAGAAAAAATAAAAGTGTGTGAGCGTGTGTGTCTTTTGCCATTCTGTAAACGTTATACTCTGTCTGGGAAACATATTCCGTGATGCTTTTGTCTATATAGAGGAGGTAGTCAAACATTTTACTATAAGTAAAAGTACAAATAGACAGAAATGTAAAGTAAAAGTATTACATGAAATGTTCAACTTGAGTAAAAGTAAGTGCTTTCTTTTAAATGCACTGTAAGCAATAGATTCAATGTACTTGCCAAGAGAAGCCTTATCCAATTCAGGAGATTCTTCTTCACCATGCTGCTGCTACAGGAGGCGGAGTCTAATGTTACCTGCCCACTCTGATTGGATTAGAATTCCACTGTAAATCACACAATGCATGTAAAAAAGATTTGCTGATATATGTTTTGGAGGGAAAGTGAAAAGTCCCTGAAAGTAAATGTACTTAAGTAAAGTACAAGTACATGAAAATGTGCAATACACGTTAAGGTACAGGAATGAAGTAAATATACTGTGTTACACCCCCCACTGCTGGAGAGTAGAAGTACATGACTCATCCAATGTGCTGACTTTACTGGGACTGCTTTGAAATTCAACCCTTCATTGACAACAGTGTCCTCTAGTGGTGGAAGTCGCATCTGCCAAAAACACAAGATGAGTGTGGGCTGTTTAAAACATTTTTTTTATTGAAAGATTTGTCTAAAAAGAAAAGAAAAAAGAAAAAAGGAGACATTTGGAACTACAGCAATATCCACTGGTTCTACAGACACTCTCAGAATCACAATTTGAAAGACATGGGAGGCATGTGACCAAGCAAATAAAAAAATAGCATCATCAAAGTTATTTCTGTTGCATCTTCTTTTACACATCTGTACAAAAAAAAAAGATCTCATAAATATTACTTTTGTTCTCGCTTCCTCCCCTCTCTCTCTCTCTCTCTCCCTCTTTCTCTCTCTTCTTTCAATAACTTACTTTCCATTAGAGGTTTGTATCTGCTCGATTTTGGTTGAACCTTTTGTTCTCCGTTCACGTCCGCTCCTGTTTCTTAAGCTTCCTTTCATTGGTGGAGAGTCAGGTGGGTGGGGCTTTATGGTTGTGACCTCGGAGCTAGTTTTTTTTTTCTTCTTTTTTTGTTATTATTCTCATCCGTTTCCCTAATATTCAGAACACACTATCGTCAATATCCCGCTGTAAAAATGGTCATTCCAGGGGGGGCACCACCTTTTCCACACCCACCCAACACAAGACAACCTCAATCCCCAATACTGAAAAGTGTTTAGCAGCTCACATATCATAATCAGTTCTCAAAAATAACAAAGGCAACACAAAAAGAAAACATTCTTCTTTAGGAGAATATACATAAGCTGACATGATTTCATTTAACAGAAATGCCCTTTTTTCACCAGATTTCATCGCCAAGCTCACATTTCAAATGGCTTCTGTTTGGCGATACAGCGAGCGGTTTGTTGTGTGCACTGAGACGTTCACGATGATTAACTCGAACGTCTTCGTGTTGACTCACAGCAGCCAGTGTCATGGCATGTAGGGCTAGAGATTGGTCGATGCAGCCTGAGGATGGTGTTAACACAAGTTTACACCGCACAAATTCCACAGGATAAGATGCATTTTCAGCCTTTTCACGACTTTCTGTTCTATACCGACTTATTCCCAATAATATACGTTCTGTTTTTAATATCTCTTCCTTACCACAGGGGGTTTGGTCTCCAAACAGATGTTACAGCTCCCCTTTAGAGCTTAAGACCAGACGACATATGACAAATCTCAACACTTTTCTGGTTGAGGCAATTGTGTTAAACATCTTCTGCATGTTTCTCTCGCACCACCAACAGCATGAGAAGCAGGAAAAAATAATCCGTTTCAGAGGTGAAAAAATAAAGAGAACGCAACACAAGGAAGATCTCTTCACTACTTAGTTTCTTCATCTTTGGTATAAAATATGCCACCTGTCGGCTGCTTTTTCTTCAACAGTTAAGAAAGACTAAAGAAACTGTCAACAGTTGTTTTCTAAAACTATTGCTTGTTGCACATTTAAAAAACCTAGCATGTTTTGTTCTGCTTTTTGTCAAAGTCAGAAATATCACTTTATTTCTTTGATTTTTTTGCAGTGAGACAAGCAAAGCAGGCAAAGCAAAAAGTTGTGGAAAGTAATAAAGACCCCACAAAACAAAAACAATACAAATGCAGTGGAGAAACAGAACTTTTATCCCGTGATGAAGCTAAACTCCAGGGAGCAGTGGATTGACCCTTTCCACAAGTCGCATTAAAGAAGCTTTTTTTTACCCTATCGACCAACACCAGCTGCACCGCACCACATAATTTAAAATCATCTTCATACAAATACAACCTTTTTTTTTTTTAACCTGTACACAAAACTTTGTAGATTTCGTCTTCAAGGCTCTCTGAAACTCCAGGAACCTCTCAAATCATTCAATCACTCAGTCTTTTTTTTTTTTTAATAATAATTCAAAACTATGGAAACTTTTTCCCAAAGTTTGAGAAAATTAAGGCAATAAAGATTTAAGAAAAACATTGATATTCTAGAAAACTACTCAAATAATAAAAAGAATGAAAATAATGTAGCTTAATATCAAAGGAAGACGACCTGTTTTTTTTCTAGACTTTGCTTCCTTACGTATTTTTTTAATAAAAAAAGTCTGAAAATCTACCTGCACATTCAAATGTTCTTTTTTTTCTGTACAGCTTGTTGGTTGAGTTTAGATTCTTCTCGTTTTCCTTTGGAGGCAAAGTCCGGTCTCGTGGTGAGAAATGATAAACTCACAGTTGCGGACTGTGTTTGATTTCATCGTCCTCGAGTTCAGCGAACCGTCATTTCTTGGTTCAACCAGGTAAGAAATATAATAGATTTTTTTTTTCATCATTTTGTCTTTTATTTGGTGCCTGTGCACAGTGGAAGCATTCTGCGCTCAGTGTTGTCCCTCACCTCCTCTTCTATGTCCCTGTTTCATTTTGATTCTGTCCGTGTCTCCAGCGCCTCAGTGCAGTCCCTCTGAAGGCAACGCAGCAACGATCCCACCGATCTTATTATCTATAAGGGACAGAAAAAAAGTCAGTGAAAAGAAAATTGGGTAACTGAGGAAACTCTGGACAGTGTTACTGTGTCTAAAGTGTTCTTTAGCATTTTTTGTCCAACCACTGTGTGTAAAGAAAAAACAGCAGCAGGTTATCGAGGAGGCAGAAAAACAAGACAAACACAAGGAAGAAGATAAAAATGTGGAGGTTGTGTTTTACAAGCCAAGGTTGAAATGATTCTGCAACAAACAACACAACAAATGTCAGAGAATTATGTTTAAACTGTAGGCTACAGTATGAAGCAGTGCAAATAGTCATAAAGCATTTCATCAGTCGATAAT